TATATATATAGAGCGAAGCAGAGGATGTCTGTGCTCTCCCACTCCTCTCCACCTTCCAAACTGCCCCATCTCTCAGTTCTCCCACCTCCGACAAAAATGAGAATGAGTTGGGTGAGGGGAGGGATCATCGGAAAAGGGTCGTTCGGCACCGTGAGCCTCGCCGCCGACCGATCCAACGGCTCAATCTTCGCCGTCAAATCCATCAATTTCAATTCGTCCACGCCGCGCGCAATCGCCGCCTTGGAGAATGAAATTCGACTCCTTTCTTCTCTTAATTGCCCTCACATCGTCTCCTACCTCGGTGACGACCTCACCGAGGAGCCCGGCGGCCGGTTCCTTAACTTGCATCTTGAATATCTCCCCGGCGGCACGGCGGCGGAGCTCGCCGCCTCGGGGAAGATGACGGAGAAGGAAGTGCGGGGGACTACGAGGTGCATCGTTCGAGCGCTTCATTATCTCCACTCGAAGGCCGGCGTGGTTCACGGCGACGTCAAGGGTCGGAATGTGGTGCTGGAATCGCGGGCGACAGGGGATGCGAAACTGGTGGATTTGGGATCGGCGAGGGAGGTGGTGGGAGGGAGGGAGAAGGGAGAAGGAACGCCGCTGTGGATGTCGCCGGAGGTGGCGAGAGGAGAATCGGCGACGCCGGCGTCGGATGTGTGGTCGGTGGGCTGTACGGTGATCGAGATGGTGAATGGGGGAAGGCAGCCATGGGGAATCGTAGGGAGTGATCCGATTATGGAGATGTTTGGATTAGGGTTTCGGGAGGCGGTGCCGGAAATGCCGGCGGGGATATCGAAGGTTGGTGCAGATTTCATCGAGAAATGTCTGAGAAGGGAGCCAGGGGAGAGGTGGAGCTGCGAGGAGTTGCTCCGGCATTCATTTCTGGGGGATTGGGAGGAGATGTCGCCGAGGAGTGTGTTTGGAATGGGGGAAATGGAGGATGGGGAGTGTGTGGAGGAAGAGGGGAGGAGGAGGATGAGGGAGTTGCAGTCGCCGGAGGAGCTGAAATGGGGCAGAGGAGGGTGGGTGGAGGTGAGGGGTAAATATCAATCTCAATATTTATGAATTGTTTCGGATGAGAAGACTTAATATTGGTCTAAGGTTTTGACGATTCTTGGGCTCCACCACCAGTAGTCGCTCGTTGCTCCGCCACATTCCTCGGTTCACGATCGTCACTACATAATTATCGCCTGATTGTCATTGCTACCAAACTATCATCACCAGACCTATCACTTGACATTCATTGCTTGACAGACATTGTTTGAGAGTCACCGTCGGAACGTTTGACCACTATTACTTGGTCACTCTCATTGTCAGACGACAGTCGCCCTGCTTGGTCGATGACTCTCCCCCAATATTTTTTTTGTCAACAAAGCTCACTCTTATAATATTGCTTGCTATTGTCCATGTGCATGCAAAGTCTTACAACTTCATGTATATAGTAAAATTACTTCAACTGGATTTGACCTTGTGATTTTTTACCTTTTTGAATTTTCATGTAAAATCTTCTAGTGTCCTCTCTGTGATCTCTTCTTTTATTTATGTGTGCTAAATTTTCATACAATACTAATACGTTAATAAGTCTTTATCAAAGCGAAATAACAACAATACACATAAGACAAGTCTCATCCTTAGTCATGTATTTGAAAATAATTTCAGTAGGCTACTCATTGGATAGAGGATAGAAATGTAATGTCTTTCCAACAGATTCTATAAATTATGTTATTTAAATATAATAAACATATAATGTATGATTTTTATATCCAAATTGACTAAGATTAAGTCTGCATATTCTATACCGATTCCTTGTCATGAAGAATAATGAGCGCAAATGTGAATACAAAGTAAACAGTGGCAGAGAATTCCTATTTGTATGGTAAGTGATATTTGATAGACATATGTCGTGATAAGGTTATAATTTCTTTTTTATTTTTTTATTTTTTAAATAACTAATTTTATAATCTTGCTGATAAGGTTCTAACCTTAATGATGCTCTTTCTTGCTGAAGTTGATGCGCATAATTGTTGTTCTTATCACATGAGACAATAAAGTACATCCTTCTGTTCCTAAGTAGAAGTTGCGCCTATGTAAATGTCAACTATATATATATATATATGTGCTTGTGTGTGTGAGTTGGAGGCGGCTTTGTATAAGTCCCCTCTCAACCTGGGTTTGAATCTTCGACCAAACGAGAATCAAATTTGCACTTGGAGATTGGTTAGGGGGTCCGCTCTTCGATCAATCATATACATATATATATCTGTGTATGTGTGCCGCTCATCATGATTTTTTTGTTGGAAGTTGCATTGTTAGTCGTAAGTCCCTTTGAGTAACGAATTCAAGCCCACCTAAATGCATCTACCTTGTAGTGTGGTATGGAGTGAGACACATGAGAGTGGGTAGGTGCTTGTATCATAGCCTCCAACTATTTTTTAAAAATATCCGTCTCTCTCTCTCTCTCTCTCTAAAGTTTTATATTTGTATAATATTCAAAATTTTAATAAAAAATTCATTTTTATTTCTAACACGCAAACTTTAATTTTTACATATATGCCTTTCGTTTTGAAAACTAAGCTCGACATCAAATCAAAAGAATAAAATGTTCAATGTTGAGTGGTTCAACCGAATTTGGGAGAGAAAAAAATAAATTCATATATGAAAGAAGAGAAAAAAATGAAAAAAAAGCAAAACGTTTGCACTTTAATAAATAAATAAATAATGCCTTTGGGTTTCTTAGAAAGTGTGATCAAAATGTATAAAAACCAAAAAAGCATGCACTTAACTAAAAGGTAATGAGAAACTAAGCTAATTAATTAAGCTCAAACTCAACCTTACCTTCACAAGTTTGAGTGGGTTTGTGAACTAAACCATGGTTAAAGAAAATGATTTTCAATTAATGCAATTTTTATAATAAAATGATATACATAACTTCTATGGTTCAAATGCATTTTGTATAAGAGGCAATTAACTTGGTCTATTTACATTTCAAATTCTCACTTAAATATCAAAATCCATGATTAGAACCCCGGACCATTTTAACATGGGTAAATACATTGGTTCAGCACATCAAAAAAGCACCTCGGTGAGTTTCAGATGGTCTGTATGCAACCATCCTTTATATTAATATTACTTGAAAGTGTCGAGGCATGAGCCGACAAGTCTAGCTAAGCTAACTCAAATTCATCTTGTCAGCTCACGAATCACTTATCGAGCTGAACATGAGCTGCATTATGAGTTGACTTAACTCGGTTCTTCGCTGATCTCATAACATGGAATCAGGAAACCATATCGTAGCAGCAAGATCATGACAGGATTGTGACGCGTTGAATCACCGTGACAGCCGGTTACACAGCAAAAATTTAGGCTTTTCGGCGAGATGATCCTGCATTCTAAAATGATTCAATCTTGATTTAGATGAATCCACGTGAATTTCAAATGTAATATTGTCCTAACACAATCAACTCAAATCTGTTCTTCAGCATTCACATCTCATTTAAAAAAAGAGGCATTTGCATACATACCACACACTACTTAAGTATGACATATCTAACAACTAGACATTCATATTTTACATGCATATCACCCAAATCTATAATTTCACACAAAAAAATACCATCAACAATACCTTCCTTGAAATGAATTACACAATTTCATGTATAGGTTTATGACAAAAAGATGTTATAAGTGTAAATATAAAAAACTTTGGGTGTTAGATATGTAAAACATGAGAATTGTGTGGTATGTATGTAAACGAGGAGCAAAACTATCAATTCAATCTGTTAAAAACATTCATATTTATTAGAATGTAGACAAATCCCAAACCAGAAATTTGCAATAAATGTCAAAACCACAATGTAAAAATAATGAGCATTTTCATTACATTTACAAAACAAATATAACAGCATATTGCATACTAATAGGAAGCAGGACCAACCGATAAAAATTGCCAGCTTCACTCATTGACAAAGCAGACAAAATGTAATCAGCAAAAACATAATTTCAATAGATCAATTACAATAAAGAAACAAGAACACAAAAAAGAGCATGAAACCTTGAAATTTGAGGCAATCAATGCTATGAAAAGAATCTGCAACATGGTGTATATATGGAGCGCTAAAATGCGGCACTCTCGAAAAGTCGAAGTCGTACACAACCACCTAAAAATGATGAGCAATGTAAGAGGCCAAACGGTAGCAGTAGTAAGTGGAGGTAAGCATTCAGTTTTTGGATGGATCGGTTTTTAAATTGGTCAAAATTGATTGCAACAAAAATTCAAAATATGAAAAATCGAACCAATCAAAATTTTGATAAAACCGAACCACAAATTAATTCGATTTAAATGATTTAAATGGTCCGATCAGAAACAAGCCAAAATTTAGTTGTAATATTGATTTAATTTCATGAATTCCTCATTTGATTTGGAATTTTTGGTTTTTCGGTTTGTTTGATTAAATAAAAATTTAAACCGAACCAATACCGAAAAACAAAATATTGAAGTTTTCAAAACCAAAAAAAGAAATGCAATTTTGAAACCAAACTGGTTCGATTTTTTTGCTTTCGACAAAATAATGCATAACCTTAAGAAGCAGGATTTATAGATCAAACACAAAGAATTGAATTAGTTTAGCACTCACCAAATGTGATTTATACGGTTGAATGCTTGGGAAGAAGGCAAAATGCTTCAGATTGAATAAAATTATGTTGGATGGATTATCTTTATGCCATTTTTAATGCCAGCTGTAACTGAGCAAATGCTGATGGATGCATCCTGCTCATGGCTTCATGGAAAGAGGACTCCCCTAGAAAAGCTGCACAAGCATTCAGATTGTCCCTCAGCATGCTCTGCAGCGACAATTGCTTGATCGGATCGGAATCTTTAATCTGGAGAGGAGAAGTAAATTAGGGGCATTTACATATCTAACATCTAAAATTTGCTTGCTTACTTTTATAGCACAAAAAGCATTCATATTTCATCAAATTGATCATTATTTTAACTTTGAAGAATTGAAATACACATTTATATGCATAAATAATGTGCTATATATCTAAAAAATGGAATTTAGGTGTTAGATATGTGAATACAAAGGAAATGAGTGGTATGTATGTAAATCTTGCAATAAATTATAGGAATAACTAGTTTCACCATTATAGATTGATAAAAATATCATACAGTTTTAAAATCAGAAACAATGGCGCTAAGTTTCATACTTGTCTTCGACGCAACTCTTTGCTTGGGACCCCATTGTAGTAGCTGAGGCTCTCGTTATTACGCCAGGATGAACTTGTAGCATCAGCACTGGAAAAAAGAATGAAATCAGCAAACCAAGAGATGAGAAATAACATGAGAAGGTGAAAAGCGTAAAAATAGTCATTTGAATTTTTTCAGAGGGTCATTCTCCCAAAATCTCATAAGTTATTAATTTAGTCCACAATCGTGAGGACTATTTCAATCTCAATTTAAAAACTATTTTAACACTTTACTCGAAGAGAAAAGTAAGGAATCGGAGGGATATTAACAAAATTCACCTGGAATCTTCCTGGCTAGTGTCTTCTGGTCCTCCCAGAATGACAGTAGTGCAAACACTATATGAAATAGACAAATGAAGTTGAATTCAATTGAACAAAATACTGAAAGAAGTTTCTCGGAAAGGAACTTACCTTAGAATTTCATCAAGTTTATCTATGATCTCTGGTACCCTTAGTGTTAAAATAATAGAGAGAGCTGAAGCATAGGTCTTTCTCTGGATGAATGTTGTATTATCAATCTGTTGAGCGAGAATAGGCACACAAGCAAAGGAAATCGGCACATCAGCATCGCATTAATTTCAGTAAAGAAATCTATTTATGGTTGGATGAGATAAATGATAGATTGGAAAGTCTTTTCAAAGGAGACCGTAGGAACTGAGATAAATTTAAGTATATGAACTAAGAGGCGAACAAGAATATCATTTTATCTATTTAAGTAGGTAATTCAACGGGTTTATTGTTCGAACACTGTTAACCCTGAATAACTGGGTAGCTTGAATAGGCCAGTAAATCTCATCGATTGAACTGCCTAATACAAATCAGAGTCAAAATCAGCGAGAAGATTGAAAAAAATATGTGGGAGAACCCAAATTAAGGTTAATTTGATTAATCTCCAAGCAAGCATACAAGATGCAATGGGCGATCTACAATTTAAGAGAGAGAGATCAATTCTCCATAATCCTTAGACCTAATACTTGATATTTGAGAGGAAGGCGATCTCTCCCAAACTCTATTCCTCTGATTAAAGACAACAATCTCTAGCATAACCTAACCTTAAGCATAATAAGCCATATTTACATCCCATAATAATAGCTAGTTAAAGACTAAATTTTCCTTTTGCGCCGGTCTTATAATAGTCCTCTCACAAAAAGACATTGTTCTCAAGATAAAAAAAGGAAACCATTGCTGGATCAAATTGTATGGCTCCCATGTGACACTCTCATGTGACAGTCCTTTCCATTTAATAAAAAATTCATAGTAATCTTATGAATTTGAAATGCAGTTTTGTTCACATTCTTTTGCCGCATTTGAATCTGTTGACACCCTCACTTTAAGTCTATGTAGCACCCCCTGTCGGACAAGTATCGGACACCGACATTTGTTCAGCACGCCTCGATATTTCTCGATACTTATCCAACACTGCAAAATATATGTATGAATTTTTTCAGGCCAGGACACGCCCGAGACACATTTTAACAAAAATTAAATTATGCAGTAAAAGTTCATATATTTGTCAAAATAAATAAACAAATTAAACTTTTTCACCACGTTATTTTGATGATAATATTATAAACTCTTCTAATTTTTTTTTTTTTCAAGTTATCCTTATCCTTGATGCCGCAAAAATTTTTCTACATTAGTCATCCACAACTCGTGCAGCTGAGCCCGCTCCTGTTACTTAAGTGTAAGTACCGGCCCCAGATCTTCCCTTTCCCCGCTCCGCATTGCTTCCCGTTTCAAATTTCTTTCTCACCATGCAAGGAAGGGAAGGAAAAATATTTGTGTACGTAATAAGCACACAACTCGGCGTTCGTACTTCATTAACCGCTCAATACCCCATAATAACCTATAAATAACATCTAAATAGAACCCGCGAAGATTATTGGAAGGTTATTAGGGTTATAGATTATTGGAATTAATACCTCAATAACCTCCCAATAACCCCTAATAATTACGAAGCGGAGGTTATTGCGAGGTTATTACGCACGCAGCTTTGCGCGCGTATTACGTACGCAAATATTTCCCGGAGGGAAGAAAACGAAAGGATAAAAAAGGCCGCCAAACATGAATGTCATTATGGAAAAAGGCTCTCATGAACAAAGACGACAACGAGGAGGGTGTCAATATGGAAAAGGCTCTGGTGAACAAAGAAGACATTCTTTGTTTGGCTTGCGCGGGTGATCCTAACACGTCGAGGAGGTTTAAGAATGAAGATGCAGTGCAGAATCATATAAAACGCATCCTAGAACCTATAGCTTCCAGTGCGTTGTGTGTGGAAATCGTTTCAAAAGCAGAATGCTCCATAAGCACAAGATAATTAATGCTTATTATTTTGTATTTGTTTTTTTTTTTGGTTTAAATTGAAGTTTATTTATTTGTTCTGTTCTCGGATTCTTATGTTAATCAAGTTACCACTGTTTACTTGCTAATTCGATGCATTAATTGATATTTCGTACATTTCATTATGTTTTTTGTTTCATTTGAAATGAAATGACACACACGCAGCAGTGCCACGAATGAATATTTTCTATATATATATATGCTCTTTAACTTCGTGATTTTTTATCAGGTTCTGGATTTGGATCAAAGCTTAAATACAGATCAGGGTTCTCCATATGAGGATGGAGCTATTAGCAACGAACTCAGCTGGAGTTGTGACAGCTCTCTCAAAGGTTTCATCAAATAATATTGATTTATTAAAAGTATAACCGAAATGCATATTAGTTTTTTTTATTTATTATATTGCTACAGTTTAGGAGTATGAACATTCACTAGCATTAATTAATTCACTCGTATTTTAAACTATGTTTCTAGGTGTAACTAATTGATTAAAAGATAAAAAATTAAAGAAAAAAATGTTTATAGAGGAAGCGGACAACCTGCAATAAAGTAAATTTAATTGTAATACTTTAATTCAATTTCTTTAGTGACACTTTCATTTGTTAAATATTAGATGAATATAAAGATTTTTATTTCCCGCCATCCGACCCGCCTTAGTTAATTCTATGCTCCGGGCCGAGTCGTGACACTAGGAGCTCTAGAATAATATCATATGGTATCAGAGCCGCAAACTCTAATTTTTATTGATGTCCTTCATACAACAAAAGCAAGAATCCATACGACGTAACATAATAACCCAACAAAGAAATTTTTTTTTCCCACATCATTCCCCTAGCCCTAATCTTAACCTTAACCCTAAAACCACAATTTTCTTTTCACTAAAACTTCCGTTAGAAGAATAAGAAATCGTGTCGCCAAGGAGAAACTCACAATGAGGTGTTCAAAAACTCACTATGGAGGATATGAAGTGAAAAATTCTCCAACTACAACAAAGATTTGCCTCCTTTGAGAGGATATAATCAGGTGAGGCCACCGATAACCACAATGGTGACTCGACGGGTTAAAAGAAGGAAGTGAATCCCTTCCATCGAGAAGTTCTGAATGACGAAAAGCTAATACTCCAAATATTTGACATGAAATATCAAAGAAAAAACTGTTAGAATAGAATTCAAAGGTAGTCTTACTGATGTAAAAAGGGGTATAAATACCCACTACAAGATCAACTAGTAAGAAAAAAAAAAGAATAAAGAGGAAAAAGAAAAACAAATAAAAGCAAATCAAAGCTATTAATACAAAAATATGCATATTAATATTCTAATATTCTAATACTCCCCCTCAAGTTGAAGAGTGAATATCAGTCACTTTCAACTTAGATTTGAAATCATCGAACAATGATTGAGAAAGGATCTTTGTGAGAATATCTGTTAGCTGACCACTAGATGACACAAATAGAACACAAATTTCCTGGGATTCAAGTTTTTCCTTAATGAAGTGATGATTAATCTCAACATACTTAGTGTCATGATGTTGGGTCGGGCTGTGAGCAATGCTAATGACAGCTTCTTATCTCGAAACAACTGAAGGAGAGCGAAGATTGTCATACGTAGTTTGTAGAGCATGATACGTAACCAAAGATCATAACAAATTATCAGGGACATGATGCTACGCACTGCTCCGAGCAACGACCAACTACTTGCTTTTCTAGGTGACCCAATTTCCCCACACAAATAAGCAGTACCCCAAGGTAGATCGTCGATCATGGATGGACCGAACCACTCTGCATAAGTGTAAACTACAATAGACCAAGAGGTGTGACTAAAAATAAACAAACCTGAGCCCGGTGTGCCTTTTAATTAGCTTGGAGGTGGTGCATATAGGGATCATTCATGAATTAACTGACTATCCTAACTGCATGAGATATTCAGGGCGTGTATGGGCAATGTAGATGAGTTTCCCCACAAGACGCTGGTAGCGAGTCTTATTTACAGGAACTACATTGAGAACATCAAAAAATTTTTCACTGGGATCCATCAGAACAACCATTGGTTTGCACAGGAGAACAATGCTTTTTGTCGAAAGGTCAATCACATATATCCACTGGGACAAACAAATACCCTGAGATGACCGAGCAATTTCATGCCTAAGAAGTATTAGAAAGATCCCAAGTCCTTCATTTTAAAGAAAGCAACAATCATGTCATTCAGAGGCTTGAATTCTAGTAGATCATTAACTGTGAGAACAATATCGTTAACATATACGATAAAGATAGCTACCTGATTGCTAGATGAATGACAGAAGAAGAGACTGCGGTCAAATTGAGCTCAAGTGAATCCATAGCCCACCACCACCATTGTGAATTTATCGTACCATGCACATGGCGATTCCTTCAATTCATAGAGGGGTTTTTGCAGTTTACATACTTGCCCCTGGGAGACAGTAGAGTCAAAGCCTAGAGGAAGAGCCATGTATACCTCCTCTGCAGGATTGTCATTCAGAAACGCCATTCAGGAATGCAATTTTTGACATCAAGTTGGAATAAGAGCCAATCCAGATTCAAGGGATAGGAGGACCTAAATGGTGTTTAATTTAGCAACTGAAGTAAATGTTTCTTTATAGTCAACCACGTAGGTCTGTGCATACCCTTTGGCGACAAACCGTGTCTTTCTGCATTTAAAAGATCCATCAAATTTAAACTTGATGTTAAAAATCCATCAACATTACACCGTTTTCTTGCCCCGAGGAAAATCAACAATGTCCCAAGTATGGTTCCACTGAAGGGTATTCATCTCCTCCACGACAGCAACTTTCTAGGCTGGGTTGCTAAAGCAGCCTCAATAGTAGATGGAAACCGATGATTGGTCAAAGCCGCATCAAATGCTCTGTAGCTTGATGATAATATGCAAAGTGAGACAGTTTGTCATGGGATGGAGAGTGCTGATTGGTCATAATATGTCTGATTGTGTGCCTTACTAGAGGAACTAACTTCCTCATTTGGATTAGTGCTGAGGATGACGTCAGGAGGAAACTCAGGGTCCAACAAGGGGTTAGTGAACTCCAGAGTAGGTGCATCAGAATGAGTGCGTCGAGTGTAGACACAGATTGGGAGGAAGTGTTGGTGGAATCAAATGGGACAGAGGCTCCTTGTTGGTAGAAGAATGAGTGGAACCAAAGGAGCAGAGAATTCCTTAATGGTAGGTGCCATGGGTGGAACATCCACAGGAGTAGGTTAAGGAATAGTGTTCACGAACTCTAACTCCCCCTCATTGGAGGTCGAGTTAGGAAAGTAAAGAATACTTTCAAAAACGAGACATCAGCACTCACGCAGACCTTATTTGTGCTAGGGTCAAGGCACCGATACCCTTTTTGAATAGCAGAGTATTCGAGGAAAACACATTTTATAGACCAGAGATGAAGTTTACTCTGAGTTGTAGCCGTATTCCGAACAAAGACTGTGCACCAAAAATTTTGGGATATAAAGTGGAGAAGACTCGATTGTTAGGAAAACACGATCTGAAGACGGCTAAAGAAGTACGAAAGTTGTAAATTTTTTAGTGAACTCTATTGATGATATAAGTGGCGGTAAGAATAACCTCATTCCAGAAATGGTTTGGGACATTAAAGTGAAACATAATTGAGCGAGTAGCGTCAAAGAAATGTCGGTTTTTTCTCTATGCTACCCTATTTTGCTGAGGAGTATCGGTACAATGAGCTATGGTGGAGAATGATCTTACCAAGAATTCTAATAATATAGAGTTAAGAAATTCACAACAATTGTCAGTCTGAAAGACTTGAATATAAATTTTGAATTGGGTCAAAATGAAAGTATGGAATTCTTAAAAGTGACAACAACTTCAGATTTATCATTTAAAATATAAACTCGCGTCATCTGAGTGTGATCATCAATCAAAGTAAGAAACTGTTGTTTATTGGTGTCGCTTGGAGTGAGACAGGGTCCCCCCCAAGTCACTTTGAATAAGAGAGAAAGGAGTAGAAAGTGTGTGATTGTGGGATGGATAAGAAACACGATGATGTTTAACTAACTGACAAGTTTCATGTTTGAAATTAGAAGGATTTTTGTTAGTAAATATCAATAAATACATTTGTTTTAAATATTAAAAACAAGGATGACCCAAATGACAGTGTAACAACATAATAGGACATTCAGTAGACTGAGATAAGCTGCAATTATTTACTGGAGTTTCCTCTTTCTTGGTGCTTTTCTCTTGGACGAAGTAGAGTCTGTCTACCAGCTTAGCAGCTCCAATTATCCTCCCCGAATAACGATCATGAAAGTCACATACGTAAGAGAAAATTGAGCAATGCAATCAATGTCATATATCAACTTATTGACAGCTACAATGTTACACTTCAGCAGAGGTACATGTAACATATATTCCAGAGTTAGACCTATTGTTAAAACATATCATTTACCAGCAATGAAACTTTGGGACCCGTTAGCAATTTTAACAGTATCTTTCCCTGAGCAAAGATAGTATGTCGAGAAGGCTTGAGAGCTTCCAGTCATGTGATCCGTGGCACCATAATCAATGATTCATTGGCTAGAATGAGCAAAAGAAATGAGCGTCATAGAATTGGTACCTTGACGAATATGAAAGGTTGACGGGTCGGAAGAGAGCGGACTTCATTCAAGCAGCCTGATTAAGTGCCCTATTTGACTTTTAAGAGAATTGGAGGATTCTGGATTGCTCTGGGTAGAGGCCGGGTGTACCGTATTGGATTCAGATGTTATAGTAAGTCCATTGGCAGCGAAAGATTTTGCTAAAGGTTTTGATGCAGTTTTCCTGTGGAGCTTCCAATATTTATCACGAGTGTGGTTGGGTTTGTGACAGTAATCACAAGTGGGGTAACCAACCCATAATTGAGCATTATTAGAGACCAAGGCGAATACATCGACAGTTGGAGTGGAAGCACCAAGCAATGATAAGTCTCCGACTCTCTTCACTACGAATCTCAGTGAAAGCAACGCAGGTAGAAGAGGATCTCGACCAAGGATACAACCCCAAACTACGTCAAGATCTTTGTTGAGGTCTGCCAAAAACTAGAAGAAGCAGCCCTTTTCTACAATTTTCTAAAAGAGAGATAGGTCGGGCGAAAACTCCCAAGTGTAGTCATAATATAAGTCGTATTTCATCCATAATGCGACTAGATCATTATAGTACCGAGTCACAGTCCTCGATCCTTGTTTTGCCTCATGGATTTCATTAGATACCTCATAGAATTGGCTGAAATTCCCTACATCTGAGTAGGAATCATGGACTGCAGTTTAGAGGGAACTAGCTGAAGGAAGGAACAAATATGATTGGCCAATAGAAGTCTCTATGAAGTTGATCAGCCACCACATGACCATGAAATTCTCCACTTTCCAAGCTCCATATGATTGACCAATAGAAGTCTCCATGAAGTTGATCAGCCACCACATGACCATGAAATTCTCCACTTCTCAAGCTCCATATGCTGGGTCAGTCTTCTAAAGTTCACAAATCACACTAGTGAGATAACCAAATTTCACATGCCCTTTGATAAATAAGGAAATAAATTGGGATAATTGGAGAAAGTTACTGTCGTTTAGTTTATGGGTTGCCTGCAAGAAGTTCATGCTATTTTCCTGTCCTCCAGTCTACAGAGAAATGAAGGTTGGAATTGATCCTCCGCTGGAATGAAGAACATCTTCTGATGATGGCTCTTTACTGGAGGAGTTTATCGTAACTCCGATTGAACCAAATAAGATGTTAGGTTGGCGATACATCGTAAAGTTCCGGCTAATGGAGGACTTTGGCCTCTGGAAGGGGTTTTCACTGCACCTGGATGGCTGGAAGAAGGTTCCCGGAGGAGCTCCGACAAACCTGGAGGGAGACTTGTTAGTTATTGTAAATGTCAGGCAAGGAAGAACAACAGGCAAAGTAGAGTAGACGACCTGTAAGGGTAAACGGAAATTGCGGTTGACAAAACCCGATTAGTAAGTGTCGCAGGAAGAGCAACAACGGGATGGAAAGTTGAGAAGAATCGCAGAAATATACACAGGAAGGAAAGCTGACAGTAGGAACTCAGTTCGGAACCACAGGAAGAATAGCAAGAAACTGATTAGGCCAGTTGGAAGAAGATCTGACCGACTAAAGGGAGATCTGACCAGTTGGAAAAAGGTCCGGCGTCTACTAGGGTTAGAATCATGGCTCTAATACCATGTTAGAATAGAACCCGAGGTAATCCTATTGATGCAAAGAGGGCTATAAATTCTCATTACAATATCTACTAGTAAGAAAAGAAATAAAAACAGAATAAAGGAAAAAATAAAAGCAAATAAAAATAATTAATACAGAAATCTTCATTTTAATATTCTAGTATTATAATAAAACCATCATTTTGGAGTGAAGATCAACTTGCTAAATTTTGATGGTCGGATGGATCAGGACGAGCTCATCGAGTGGCTCCAAGCAATGGAACGTTTCTTTGAGTACAAGCACGCCCCACTTGGCAGAGAGGTAAATCTAGTCGTCGTCAAATTAAAGAAGAGTAAATCTTTATCGTGGGGAAATTTAATACGCCTATGGCTACACAAGATAAAAAACAAAATCACTACCTTGTCCAAGATGAAATGAGAGATATATCATAAGTACATACCACTACATTACATATTTGACATGTTCTTGAAACTTCACCTACAACAATAATATTTTTTTTAGTAGAGGAATGCAGTTAAATTCGAGAAGCTTATGTTGAAGTGTGAGTTGGTAGAGCCCGATGAGAACACCATATAACTCGATATCTGAGGAGATTAAGACCATCCATTGAAAATGTGGTATAGTTGCAACCCTATTAGACATTACAAAATATCTAAACTCTAGGCATTAGCCCTTAAGGTGGAGAGAACACAACAATAATAGGTCCACACCACTCTTCAAATAGAATACAACCCCACCCCCGCTAGAGTAGCTTTACACAGCTCAACACTACACGTTAAATCATAAGATCAGTAAAATGGTATTGAGAATGATAAGTTAAGCCAACAATAAGACTTCCACTTCCGGTGAATAATTTGGTTCAAGAAGATTCTGATGAAATATTCACTAGCCCAGAAAAGGAAATCAAAATTTCATAATGTTAAATACAGTGAATCTGCCGCTGATACCCTTCCAAGAAAGAAATTATCACATCACTGATGACATCAACTTGTGCCACAAGATTATCAGCAAATGCAGAAAAGAAGGGAATGTTAGGCAAGCATAAAATAGTTCGTGTATCCGAGATAATGCAAAGTTGTATTTAAAATTTGAATGATTTACTAACATGCAACTCAATTATTATGTATTTGCATATATAACACCTAAAAATTAGATTTTACCTACATACTACTTTAACTATGCATGAAAAGGTGTATTTCACCTTTTCAAAGTTAAAATAGTGGCATTCTTTGTGTGATAAGAAAGATTTAGGTATAAATGTAACAAACAAACTTTGTCTTACGTATGTAAATACATAGGAATTGGGTCGTATGTATGTAAATGCCCCTTAAAACTTTTTATAGTTAAGTGCTACAACAAGATATATGATATGATACTATTACCTTGTCAACCCACAAATCTACCAAGCAGAGAAGAATATTTTGATTGATGGAAAGACCAGCTTGTCGAAGAGCCATCGTTAGAGCTGGATCAGACGCCAGATGTCCAAGATAATTGGTATTCATTACCAACAGCCTTGCCAGAATAGCTCCGGAGGAAGTTCGCACTGCTGTCCGGGAAGGATTCCGGTCATCTTCTCCACTCAAGCATAACAATATGAGTTTCTACCAAAAAGGCATTTATATTGAGAGCCGGGAAAAAGATTAACTTTGAGGTGTTTAGTTATTATAGTAACAAGAGATGGCCAACAAACCTGAAGAACTCCAGACATCAATGGAGGTGCTTCTAAGGGAAAGCACTGAATACAAGATGAGCATGATTAATACATTAATTTTATCATATAAGCCAGAAAACGGAAGAAAACAGTAGCATGGAAAGATGATCAGCTTCTCTCGTTTATCTATTAAAATCAAATGATGCTCTAAACTATTTCAGATCGACTCAATGGGAAATCCAGTACCTTCCGCATTTATTGAAGATAAGATAAGTATGGAATATTAAATCCATAGCATCAAATGGAAAAGTGAAACAAACCCGATCTGATCCACCTTTCATTACCTAAACACCTAGTTTTAGCAAAAGAAAACTGCCACATCGTGCCAAGAAAAGTAAAATTAACAACCAATGTATCTCAGCACGGAAAAAATGATAAAAACAAAACAAAAGATAAAATAAAGTGGACAAGTTGTTTGTGTTTGACCCATATCTCTATATATATATATATATATAGGATCCATTAGTTGAATTGAATGGGAGCAACGAGAATGATGAAGATGAATGTGACGATACAGGGTCAAGCACAAACCCTTCGATCAATGTTGAAGCTACCTAAAAAATGCTCGTTTACAAAATAGATTGTGTTAGCACATAGAAAGCATCAAAATCTATCAAGGGGCATCTTATCAATCGACTGGGCTAAACGTGTCAAAATGATGGGGCTTAAATGCAAATTCACATAAACTGGAGATAAGGTGATTTGATTAACGACAAAATTGCTCAGATGCCTCTGATGGCAAAATAAACCACTTCAATTAATGCCGAATTTGATCATAATGTCAGACTTTATAGATGACCATCAACATGAATGTTGAGACGTCGTAATTTAAAATTTTAAAAAAAGCAAATTTTATGTTATACCAGAGTTAACCCAAACATCAATAGGAAAAGAATTATTATTGCTAGAAACAAATAGGTGGTTACAATCAAATACACTTGGAAGGGAAAATAAAACACACGACATGTAAACTCACATTCGGGCAGATCCTGGGTGATGGTGATGACAATTAGGGGGCTTGAAGAGGTGGGGACAAAGTAGGACAGGAGTTCGAGCCAAGCTTGAGTGAACCCAATGCTTATTCATGTTCGACTCATTATTATTATTATTATTTTATGTTTGGCTCGTGCTTGAAATAACTTATGCTCAAAATGGCTCATGAACAGCTTGTTTGTGTTAGACTCAATTCAAGCTCGAATGTTTGAATTAAGCTTGTGTTCGGCTAGAATTGCAGCTCAATAGCTAGAATCTTTAAGTAGGCCACACAACAATAGTGCTCAAAAGAGAGATTTCCCTGGATTTAAGCACCTTTAAGGCTGTAAGAAAACCTCTCCCGCCGATGTGGAACTAAACAGTACAAGAAAAATGAATGGTTCATGGCTTTGTTTTCTTTCTTTCTTTCTTTTTATTTTTTTTGGAGGGAGGGGGGTGTCATTTATTACATGCCAGCTAATGCCCATGTATTTACATAGCTAGCACCTAAACAAAGATAAGAAAATGAGTGGAATTGTGGGACCGTGTGATGGGTTGGGCTGAAGTTTAGTTTACACATATACCAACCAATTCGTATGTATTTAAATATCTAACACCTAAACTTTACTTTTAATCTTTATACCATACAAATCTCTTATATGAGTTATTTTAAAATACATTATAAAAAAGTAATATGAAAAAAATATAAATAAACATTATTATTTAATTATTTCGAGTCAAAATGAGTCAAACACGATTGAACAAATCATTGGTCATGTTCGCCTCGTTTATAAATCAAGCTCAAAAAAATTGTTTGAGTTCGGCTCGTTTTGCAAACAATGAGTTTTTTTGACAACCCTAGTTTTCAGACCACTGATGAGAGGGCGTCAATAATTATGGGTGGCTGCAACAGCAGGGCAACAAGGGACGACAGTCCAAATAATGACAGTTTGTTGTTTGGGGGCGGCTAAACTGCAGTTTGCAGGAAATCAACAAAGCAAAGGTGTTGCAGCTGCAACATCTACGGTGGAGGGCAGGGACAAGGAGGGCAACAAAGAGGGAGGGCTGGAACGACGATGGCAACAAATATGAGGCGACTAGAAGATTGTGAGTTGTCAAAAGAGAGAAGTATGGCAGCTGACTCAGAAGAAGGAAAGTATGGATGGTGGAAGGAAGATGACTAGAACAACAATGGCGGGAGTGCCAGAATCACAAGAAATTTGAGTCAGAATGTAAAAAATGCACGAAGATGTTACTATAGATTTAGTGATTGGATTGCCTAAACCACGACAAGATTTTGATGCTATATGGGTAATTATTGACAGATTGACTAAGTCTACCCATTTCTTATCTGATTGACCAAGTCTGCTCATTTTTTGCCCATTAAACAACCAGATTCTGTTGAAAAATAGACTAAATTATATGTGGATAAATTGTAAGGTTGTATGAAGTATCAAAATCGATTGTTTCAGACAGAGATAGCATATTGCCTCTACTGAGTTGATGAGACAAGACACAACAAGAGATTTGCATGGCTGTCATATTTTCATATTCGGATTGCTAACAATAGGTTTTGAAGTTTCTCCGGTCAAATACCCAATTTTGTCTCTCCCATCGATCACCAATTTTATAGTTTGAGCTCATTCGAGATAGTTGTGCTTGTTGAGTTTTATAAATGAGAGATAAAGTGCTAGAATTTTTTAATAATAATCAGCAGATATAGACATGTGAGGGGTTGCAGGATGAGGCGAAGTTGTTTCGAAATTACTGGAGCTAATAGAGATGATAAAATTTCTTTGGACTCTGATCATCATTACTAACTTATATGACTTCATCAGAGAATGTGCCAGGAGCAGCAACGATGGTGAGTTCAAACGTGACAGAAAAACAACAGCTTCAATCATGAGTAACGAGAAAGAAGGAAACAACATGAACAACTCCTTCGATTTTGAGTCCATCGTGATGGAAAAAACAGGAGTAAAAGCTGCAATCACGAGCAACAAAAATTTCGAGGACGCGTGATTGATGATTTCGGAAACGATTGATCATCGAGAACTCTAGGGAAATTTCGATCTCGATTTTAATTTCTCTTGCAAGCTTTGATATCATGTAAGTTTGAATAAGGAAAAATAATTATCCTCAACTTCATAGAAAATGATTAAAAGATAAATAGAAGGGGAAAGCACCCGTATTAGGAAAACCATAAACTCACCAACCCCCCCAAAAAAAAAAAAAAAAAAGGAATTATAACTTACCAACAATACTACATTCTAAACATAAAAAATACTAAAATAGAAGATACTAAAGATAAAATATTCCTAAAATTCAAACAAAATTATATATGCTTGCTTTGGAGTAATTTTGGACAGCCTTTTCTTTTGGCTTATGAAAATTTGATATTTCTTTTTAGATTTTTCTCGAGTTTTATAGGTGTAATAAAAAATAAAAAAGCTGAAGCGAGGTGAGAGAGTTTTTTACCAATATTATAATATATACCTGAATCAATATATCAAGAATTGGAATTGTTGAAAGAAGTCCTTTATCATTTACGTTTCCAACAATACCATCAAGCAATTTTGCTACAGTTGAGGCATGCATATTTAAAAACTCTGCACCGCCAAAAATTATGTAGTCCTCTATGATATCTACAACCACCTGTTCAGAGATAAATTACGTCATTCACAATTTTGCCTAAGCCTCTCTCAATGAATTCACATCTGACCTATGAGAGAAAATTATAAATCGTATGTACAAATATGTCTTACGAGAGTAAATTATAAACCATGCATAAAAATAAAATAAACCAAAGAAAGGATTCTCTTAACTAATCCTTAGCCTTATCCCAACAATATAGTTTGAATTCAACGCATCCTTCTTCAAAAACAATCTTGTTTAGCATCGCATGTAGCATTGTTTTTTAAAAGCATAAAAAACTTGTAAATTGAGCGCTAAATCAGGTAACGCATGGTTAATTTTTTGCTTATATAATGGTTTCACCAGACTAGTTGTAATTTCTGAGAAATTAATATATCTAATCGGTACCAACCTTGACATTCACAAGAGCAAGAATATAATGTCCCGTTTAAATTGAAAATGGCAACAACAAGTAGAATTTGTTCCGAGAAATGCAAAAGAAATCAAGTATCATTTGTGTGTGCATTATTGGGAAAAGAAAAGTTTCCAATTCATAAAAAAGGCCACTTAAAATTATCATTCAGCATAAAGTTGTACAAAAGAACAGCATTTTCACAATTATATATTGAGAAATTTAAATACGCAGAAGATAATTCTTATCTATTTACATATCTCAAACCTAAACTTTCATATTTATATACATAGTATTTTGGTGTTTTTAACTTATGCGTGAAAATGTGAATTTTACTTTTAAAAAGTGGTAATAGTGCTATTATTGATGTCATATTAAAGATTTGAGTGCCATGTGTATAAATATGAAAATTTAGGTTTGAGATATGTAAATAAATAAGAATTGTGTGCTATGTATGTAAATGCCCCTTATATATTTTTTATATCAGGAAAAGCTTAAAACTTGAGTACTAAATCACCCTAAACAGTTAACATGATCATCCAAACGGCATGCATGCATCTTATTCAAATTGAGGGTCTTAAAACCTAACCTGCAAATGATCAAAACTTTTCTCAATGATGGCCACCAGGGAGGGAAAAAGGTTTAACAGCTGAGGCACTATTGATGTTGCATGCGAAAGTACAGCTTCCCAAAGCTGAAAATATGAAAAATGCAAAAAACTCATGCAAATTTGCATCATTCAGTAATCTACAGTAGAAAAAAATAAGAGAAATTTACATAAAAGCCATTCAATTTCTACGTATTTACATATCTAACACCTAAATTTTACTTTTTTACATTTATACCACCAAAATCTTTGACATCAAATAAAAAAAACTACTATTTTAACTTTTAAAATGTGAAATACATCTTTATATGCATAGGCAAGGCGGCATTTATGTACAAATTGAAGTTTTGAGGTTAAATATGTAAATACATAGGAATTCAGTGGTATGTATGTAAATCTTTCAAAAAATAACTAACCAGAATACTATCCTCCAATAGATTTAGTGCATCAAGATTATCAACGTTAATACCCTTTTGTAGAATAGGTATAAGCATGTTATAGCAGACAGAAGACTGATAGCCAAGCGAGCAAACAAAATTTCTAAGGGCCTCAAGAAGTTGAATCTGCAGTAAACTTTCACCAACGGATTCCTCCCACATCTGAATTCAGGAGTTAAAAACATACAAACTAAATCAAAACCGAATCCAGATATCATGTCATTTCAAATAATTACATATGATGATTTTAATAAAATAGCAATTATCATTTTATGGTGGTGTTATGTAACAGGAGCCAGTTGTAGAAATCTTTTACTACCAAGCATAAAAAACTTACAACTCCGTTCGCTTATTCATATCTTAAAATCTACCATGTTATAACAGTTACAACACAATATGTATCAATACATGATCACACACTGCAAATCTTTTTTTTGGTGACAACCATCACAACGAACAAAAGTAAAAGAAGGGGCAACAGACTCATTGCAAGTAGTAAAATGTAACAATAGCATGTATGATATGACAATGTAGTCTAACTAAAAAAATATGTAACAGGATACCTTTCGGAAAAAATTTGCCAGTTGGCCGGCAAATTGGGTAATCTTTTCACCCAAATGTTCAGTAAGCAAAGATATGAGGTTTAGGACTTGGACCTGCGGTAATGAGTAAACACTAAGTAGCAATGGGAAATATTAAATGAAGTAAAAGCAGATGAAGAGCTGATCCTAGATTCATGTTACTGAAAGTGTTTGAAAAAAAAAAAAGTCAAGGCGAAATGGTTGCCCCTCCACGTGATTAAACAAAGAGGAAAAAAAAAACTTAAGAACTACATTACAACCATATAATTGTTGTGAAAATGAATGAAACATAAAGTATAACATAGAATATAAATAAGAAAATTACATAGCTCACGATATTAAAGTCTGCAATATAAGCTAGTTAAGAAGCTTGGTATCAACCAAGATTCACATCATGGTTCCATATAAGAATAAACAATCTTACAGATAATTTTTAAATCATCTATGTTGGGAAGTATGAACGAAAAAGAACCATACCTTAGCTGGTAAACAGAGCTGAGAGTTAATAACGGTCAAAAGTTTAAATAAAAGTTTTATTTTGAAAGAGTTGAGTAGCATGGTGCCACACATACTCAAAGGAAACCAACAATTTAGAATATAACATAAGAATCAATCTCCGGAAAATTTCTTGTATCATTTCCTTGATGAATGTAGATAGAAGAAAATGAACTAGAATATTTGTAGCACATTCACTAATAAATAACTTAATTCTGCTGCTGAATTTGACAATTAACCATGTTAGACATTTGCAATAAAATGTTCAAAGTTACTAACAATAGAAAATAACATGAGATAGAAGGGTTGGGAAACAAGTTTCTTCTAAATTTTCAATAGGGGGAGATGTTAAGTAATGCTAGTAAGCGAAACAAATACCCATAAGCAACTCATAAAATTAGTTGATCATAATCCCAATAAGATAAACAATGCCATTGCCGGTCCCAAGCCCGAACGTGAAAAATGAAAGGTTACATTAGGTAGTCGACAACCAACGCAAAACTTGTTGAAAAAAAAATTAAGACATGAATCCTTTTGATCTTTGTGTAATAGCTGGCTCCACATAGTGGGATTAAGGCTTTGTTGTTGTTGTCGTCGTAGTTTAATCCCAATAAGAATATAGATGTTTCAATACAACTTCAGTTGCAACAACAGTTTACCAGACCACTAATCTCTCGGAGGTGGAAGAGCTACTTTACAACCATGTCATCCTTAAAGGCACACATTTTACATTGATCGAGCAAAAAAGTTACAAAAGAATGCATCAAAGCATATGCAAGGTGGACGAAGTCATCCCTAAGCCAACTCAAAAAGGGAGGATCACAATCTATAGATTTTCAAACAAAAGACTTAGCAAAGCAAACTTGGCCGATAAGTGGGCTGTTTTGTTGTGTTTTCTAGACACAAAAAAAAAAAAAAAAACACTTCAAGAAAAAGAAAAGAAAGCTAAATCAAGTCCAGTGCTGGGCTTGTTGGTCCAAGCGCTCGACTCCGTACAAAAAAGTGTTCCAGTGTGACAAAATAGTGCAAGGCTCAAATGTGCAGGTAGGGATCTTTCTGATTGCAAGATAAATCAAACTTGTGGCACGATAAATTTGTGGAAAATACACAAGCAACGTGATGCAATTCAAGATGTTTAAAATTCCAATGTTAAATAAGGAGTCTTATCTGTGTCAAAATATCTAGTCATTAGTTCTCATTTGTCATTTAGAAGTATTTTTTTAAAAAAGTTTTTCAAGGGTAGTTTCATAATTAAAAATAAGGTTTGTTGTAATAAACTGAGCTGTCTTGTGAATCAGTCATAGCGGATGACGGAATAAAGTAAATGTTTTCCTTTTTGCTTCCCCTTTAGGGATTCACTCCCTCTTCTGTGGTTATCTTCATGTTCCTTCCTCTCTAGCTCATAGATCTTATCTTCCCGATTTGTCAAAACTTTTTATCTTTGTCAAAAAAAAGGAAGATTTACAAAGTACCACTCAATTCCTAAATATGTATTTACATATCTAACACCCAAATTTCAATTTTTACACGTAAGCCACTTTGCCTATGCATGAAAATGTGTATTTCACATTTTTTAAAGTTAAAGTGGTATTTTTTATGCAATATGAGTGATTTGGATTTGGGTGTTATAAAAGTAAAAAAGTAAAGTCTAGGTATTAGAGAGTTTATACATAGGAATTAGGTGGCATCCCAAGCATGCAAAAAAAAAAAAAAATCACCGTGATTTTCATTTCCACAACCTTGTCCATTAAATTTGGCAACATAGCTGAAATTCTTAAATCCAAGGACTTCCTCATAAATAAATCAATACAACCATCCACCATTTCCTTCAACTTCTATTCATGCTGATTGCTAGCAGCAACATAATAATTTCAATCAACAATGATAAACATAAATTTATCACATTGGGCCTTGTCATACTACGTTAATTTATATATTTAAATTCAATGCCTGAATGAAATTCTTTTAACCTTTAAATAATAAACTTATATAAAATATATATAATATTTATTAAACAACTTAAAAATAAATTACCTTTATAAAGTCAGTCGGTCGCTCTACTCTGCGCATGCAAAACCCTTCCTCTGCTCACAACTCCGTAAACTACCAGAGAGAGCTCCCTGCGTGCGAGAACTAAATCACACGCACGAAAGAGCTTCTTCCGCAACTTCCTCTTCGACACACTCTATCGTGACTCAACGTCTTCTCCGTTGTTGGACACCGACATTGAGACCTCCTGCCTCTTCTCCGTGTGAAATGCTCAACCACACTACTTACTGCTTCTCATTTGCACACGACCCCTCAAAGCTCGACGTCGATCCTTCATCAGACCTCCCCGTCGTTGGCTAGGACATCTTTTGTGTCGTTCAACTCCCAGGTAAGTCGTTTCTCGCCTCTGTCGCCCCTTCTAAGCATCAATTTATACATGGAAAATATCCTTTTGTGTTCCCGACCCCCTCGCTTCCTCTCCCCTTTGTTTCGATTGCCTGACTCCTCGTCTTATCTTCTTCGATTCTTCGTTTCTCCTCTCCTAAGACAACCAAAACTAGACGTTAAATGAAACATAAAAAAATATAAAAAAATGTTTGAAAATATCAACCATCCCCTACAAAGACTAACTTCCATTTAAAAATCGAAGAAATAACTTCCATGTGAAACTCCCTCTAAAATAGCAACCACTTTCTAGAATTGAACTCCTTAAATCTAGGAAATTGATAAATCATTACATTGTCAATGTTTTGATCAACCAAAAGTTGGAGGGATTTAATTAAACTTTCCTTAATTAATTGTTGATAATTTTGTAATAACATTTTGATCCAACTACCATCAAGTCTGATCTCTCTTAACACTAGGGATGTTTGAGTTTTCCAAAATTAATGGAGTCTTGTTAGAGATTTGGGAACCTTCATAAAGGATTTTGCAATTCTACTGAATTATAGATCCCTCATTAAGTACCTTCTTCTCGTGCAAATAGAATGATGTCCAATCAACTCCATGAGGGGAATTCATACATAAATAGAGGATATGTGCAAACTTCCTACTTCCCACCCTTGGTTTAGTGATAGATTAAGAACATGGAAGATGAAATCCAATGGGAGGCTAACTTCGACCATGATCCGAAAGGTCAAAGGGGTGGACAAGAAAATATGAAGATGAAACGGGAAAGACAGTGCCAGTTCCTACTAACTTACTACTGCCAAGAGTTACAGACTCTAGCTTCTAAAGTGGAGAGACTACATCACCAAACGATCCCCCTTACTACTATCCAATGAAACTAATCTGCAAGTATGTCACAACTAGAAACTGTTGCAAGTGACACAGATTTGGACATACTGAAGCAGAATGCACAATCAGAAGACTGATCTACTCCACCAACTAGGGCGTCATCGAAAAGTTGAATAAATACAAAACAGACACTAAAAACGGTGAGGACATAAACAAGGAAAACATGCTTGAAGATAGTGATCTAGAGGTAATTGGTCGTCCAACAGTGTATGAGATTATGGTGCCTCGAGCTAATATTTTGCAAACTTTGAGAGGAACATTAGCAGACCTGACCATGGATGATGATATCGGAGGAGAAAGCCCAAACCACAACAAAAACACAACTTTTTATTAATATAGAAATAGGGTTACAAATCAACACCAACGGAAAGGGAAAACACAATAACAAACCAATCTTCGGTTAGGGACGAAAAGAAGAACTGAGGGCGAACTGGCACCGACAATGGGGTGAAGATATAGGAAAGGGATGGTAGTTGTGAGGTCAATTAAAAAGGGGTTTGTAGGTGATTTGGGGCCGATAGTTGGACTTGTGCTACAGCAGAGTAGTTGGACAGCCGGACCTGCTGTAAAAAACTGGCAGCTATTGGCAGGATGAAGGTCGGGAAGTGGGACAACAAGGTTATGTGGCTGGGGGAAGGATGGTTAGGGGTTAGAATGAGGAAAGGCGTGGCTGGAGGCTGCGAAGAGGGGAGGAGAAGGGTTAGAGAAGGGAATAAGGATACAACATCACCTCGAAGTAGGATACAGTCGGAGCGCCACCACCTCCTCGGATACAACCCTACAAAAGGGAAAAGACTCCAAATAAGAATTCTGAAATCAACACATAGCAAAAGACCCTTAGACTCTTAGCAAACCAGCGTACATATAGCTCTAGCTATGCGGGGAAATAAGAAAGAAAAGAAGGGGAGAAGGCAGCGGTAAACGCTCGAACCAAGCGGGAGACGCGAAAGGAAAGACGTCAGGGTTGCTCTCCTTCAAATCCTGTTCGATCCGAGCGGGTAACACAAAAGATTGTCGCTCTCCCTTAATGCCGCCCGAAACTACTAGAAACCTGGACCGGGCCCCATGGACCGATCCCTATGCCAGCCAGTTCTGCCGACTAACTTGTCTCCCACTCCCATACAAGAGACACTCGCTCCCGTGTTAGTCTCCCGAGGTTGGGAGAGCTTCAAACTAATTCATCGAAGCTTCTGGCTCATTCTCTCTAATCTTGGCGGCTGTCGCCTGCATAATCGCCCGAAGCATTGAAGAAGTCGACACCACTTGAGCGCCTCAGTCCCTATCGATCCACTTTC